AGCGGTTCCAGATTGCTTAGGATGAGGAGATTCAACTCAGGTAAAAGGTGTTTCTAGAGCAGTTCCATGCAGTTTGTTTCCCGATGCATCCATGTCAAGGAGAAATCGACATTGGCTCATTGGGATCTCGCAGAAGAGCTGGGGATTGTGAATGTTTAGGAGCTGGAGTAACACAATTTCTCCAATTTCCTGTTGAATTGTTCCTATAATGTTTTTGCTCTCTAAACATAGAATTGTAAGAGACTTGAGTAATCCGATCTTTGGTTGAATGATTCTGTTGAGAGGACTAAATAGTTATTTAATGTTAGTATTATTAATAATGTAATAATAACATTTATTAAATTTTATTGTATAGTAAATATGTGCTTAATTAGTTATAAATATTAAATTATTAAAATTATATTTGTATTATTATAAGTTAAGTGTATTTTATACTCTAAATATATCTTAAATTTAATTTATTTTAAGCTATAATTTAACTATATTTATAATATTATTTAGTTAACATTATTATAAGAAATTTTAGTTAAATGTATTTATTATACTAAATTAATACAAAAAGCTGTTATATAAATTAGTTAATACTTATTAAAGAATTTTTAAATAAATATACAATAGTTTAACTATATCTCTATATCTATTAGCGCATTATGTTGAAATACTTTATTTATAAATTATATTTAATTATGAATAATTTTAATTTTGTTTAAGTTAATATAGTAAATATAAAAACACTAATTATAAATAATATATAACTATTTATTTTAAATATAGTAAATTAATATTTATAAAACTATTTATAAATTAATATATAAGTATTTAATCTAAAATATATAGTAATATAAACAATTATGTATAAAATAAATTAAATTAATTTAAGTATTATAATTTTAAATTTATGTTTAACATTTCCATATTTTAAATTAACTATAATATATGTATAATTTTAAAATTAATTGTTATTACATGTAAATTAACACAATATTAAATAAATTTAGTTATATAGTAATTTATTAAAATTATATTATTAAATACTTAACATTTTATATATTTTAAGATGTTTATAAGTTAATATTTAACAT